AAGACCGAGTTTTAATTACTATGACAGATGAAAATGTATTGAATCAAAATTTCCATTGCTTTTTCAATGAAAATTGAATCAAAATTTCCATTGCTTTTTCAATGAGCAGTGGATATTCACTTTTTATGGAGAGCCAGAGATGAGGTCTTGAGATGGATGACTGGAATTTAGCTTTGAGATGGTCATTGGATTGATGAGGCTTTCTTTTTCATGCATATTTAAATTGCTATCTTCAATGTTTGTTGCATATGGATCTATTATCCACCTATTGCCATGTCTGGGAACTTTCTTTGGGTAGTAATGACCAAAACATTCTGTGAGTGACTGTAAGTGCTGTTGAACAATGGTTACCACCTGCCAGTTGACATCTTTCTCATATACTCATCAAAATTTGAAAACATTTGCAGATCTTCTTCAGTCAACCGTGTTTGCCACAGTAATATTTTCTTTTGAAAAGCATCCATTTTACCACGTAGTGTGAACATGTCCTGAAGTTGTCCTTGCAAAGTTCATTTAACAATGAAAAAATATCTGCCAGGTATGCAAGCTTGGCTACCCACTCATCATTGGACAAGAGTTCTTAAAATTTTGGATTATTTTGCTGGTAGAAAAATATTTTGATTTCTTCATGCAGGGCGAACAGTCGGGTTAGTATTTTCCCCCTTGACAGCCATCTCACCTCAGCGTGAAGAAGATGAGTATACTCAGAACCCATTTCTTCACAAAGTGCCTCAAAAACATTCAAGAATTGAGTGCTTTGTGTTGAATTTCATTTTCAATTTTAATAACATCTGATAATACTTCGTGTTTTTCCCATTGCAAGCTGAAAATCCAGAAGCAATTTCCAAATAGAAATTAGTTTAACCATCTCTGGTTCTCCTTGCTGTGGGGAATAGTATATGCTTCTGTTTACTGATTAATCTTTATAACGTACCATAATTTATATTAAAATAATTCCCTATATTATTTCAGACTTTTTAACCCTAAAGAGAGAAAATAATTTTTCTAGTTTTTAAACACAGACATGATATTCTTCCGACTAAAATCGGAATTCTGATTTTTGGGGGAATTGCCCCCCCTTTCCCCCCCTTCTTCTCCTCCTTCCCCTCCCCTCTTCGACCTGCCGCCTTTGCTCCGGCAACGGCCTGAGGAGAGGCAGAGGCAGAAGTCTTCTGACGGGGCTCCTCCCATGGAGGATTGGGGGCGGCGGCGGAGGCGGCTTGAATTACCCCGCCCCGCCGTCTTCTCCAGCTGGGAAGGAAGCCCTAAGGCCCCCTTTCCAAAGAAAGCGAGTCTAAAGCTGGCAGTTCACGGGGAGAACGCGAATTGACACCTTTCTTGCTGCTCCAAGCGGTTTAGCTAACCCCACGCTGGCCGGCGGCTTCGGGGAATGAATGGAAGCCCCGTCCCCTGGGTAATTGCGGGAGCACCACCGCGTTCCCCTGCAATGACTGGAGAGGCCGCTCAGCACGCCGGCGGAACATCCCCGCTCTGTTCAGTGGAGGAGATTCCCCGAGGATACCAGAAGCACGAGGTCAAAGGACTTTATTGCGCGGGGGAGACCCCGGGAAACACAGGCGTTTGCGCTCCGTCCCTGCACCAAAAATGCCCTTGGGGAAACTACTTGTCCCGCCTAATAAAGTAATAATAATAATAATAATTTTAAAAAGCGTCCTGCGCACCCTTAGGCTCCCCACGATCTGCCTTCTGACCTCGCTACGGAGGCTGCCAAGCCGAAGGAGCGGGGGAGGAGCGGTGAGGTTTACTCTGCCTGGGGTTCGGGGGGGAGCAGTCCATTCCTGACTAGAAAAAGCTCGCCTGCAAGTTCATTTCTGACCGCAGCATACAAGAAGGGAGTAACTCAATGTGGAAGTGGCTTGGGACCAGGTTAGCTATTGCTGGTCACATCTACCTGACCCACCAGAGCTGGGAGGTAAGGAAACATCAGAAGAAGGGCTATCTCCGTGGTGGCTCCCTCTTTCTGGAACATCATACCCCCCACCCCCCAGATTAGACTGGCTGTCTGGAAGGCCCTGAAAACTTGGTTCTGCCAGCGGGCCTGGGGAACCCAGAGCGGGATGGAGGCCATTAATTGGTTAGTTTGAATGTGTGTTGTCGCTAGCTTTGGTGTTGTGTGTGCGATTTCTTGGCGCGCGGGGTCTCTTATGGCCGGCCTTGAAAGAGCGCGCACGGGGCGGGCGGTGGAGACGCGGGAGCGAATGCGGGAAGGAAGCAAACCTCGTTGCAAAGTTTTGCCTGATACTCTGCTAAAGCTTCAAGGGGGCGTTGCCAATTTAATTCCCACTGGGGCGCTGTGCGGACCGTGGCGGGTGCTTAGGCAACCCCTGCACCCCTGGCTACTTTTCAGTTTTTTTTTTCAGAGGGGAATATCACGCCTGTAAACAGTAAACTTTACTTTTTAAATTTCCTCTTAACATTGTTGTTGTTAGTTGCGAAGTCGTGTCCGACCCATCGCGACCCCATGGACAACGTTCCTCCAGGCCTTCCTGTCCTCTACCATCTTTCTGGAGTCCATTTATGCTCACACCTACTGCTTCAGTGACTCTATCCAGCCACCTCATTCTCTGTCGTCCCCTTCTTTTATTGCCCTCAATCTTTCCCAGCATTCTTCTCCAGTGAGTCCTTTCTTCTCTTTAGGTGGCCAAAGTATTTGAATTTTAACTTCAGGATCTGGCCTTCTAAAGAGCAGTTTGGGTTGATCTCCTCTAGGATCAGAGGCAGGTTCTGACCAGTTCTGGAGAACTGGTAGCGGAGAATTTTGTGTAGTTCGGAGAACCGGCAAATACCACCTCTTACTGGGCCCATCCCAATCTATTCTCTGCCTCCCAAGTTCCCACTGATTGTCTGGGTCTTCTTTTGTTACCCTGCACAGGAGAACGAAACTGGAAAGCAGGTTAGTAGGGTGGGGAGGGAATGGGGATTTTGCAGTAACCTTTCCTTAGGAGTAGGGTGGGAATGGAGATTTTGCAGTATCCTTCACCTGCCATGCCCACCAAGCCATGCTCACCAAGCCATGCCCACAGAACTGGTAGTAAATTTTTTTGAAACCCACCACTGTCTAGGACTGACCAGTTTGATCACCTTGCAGTCCAAGGGACTCACAGGAGTCTTCTCCAGCACCATAGTTCAAAGGTCACAATTCTTTGGCGCTCAGGCTTTCTTATGGTCCAACTTTCACAGCCATACATTGCAACGGGGAAAACCATAGCCTTGATTATACGCACTGTTGTTGGCACAGTAAACATACATGCTTTAAAATTCATATTCAATGATATTTTACAAACTTTAAAAAGAACTCAAATATTATAAAGGGCAAAAAATAAGAACTTGTTTCCTATTCTGCCTTTTACAGTATTGCTTTTGAAAGAATGAATTAAGCAGTTCCGCTTTCTCCCTGCTACTTGCCACTTCCTTGCCATCTTTTCCCATTAATGGACTGCCAAGACTGCCTTCCTGCTATGCTTGCAACATCATGCTTCACTTGCTGCCTGTCTGCCATATATAAGGGGTGGGGAGAGAAGCTGGGGTGGGATTGAAGGGGGATGGAATGAAGAGAATTGAAACTACTCGTCTGTGCCATCCTATGAGAGCCGCTGGCTGTTCCAACGTCACACTATGGAATGCAGAACCATCTGGCCCCAAGCCAGGGACCATTACCAAAACAATTTGTTTAAATACAATTGGACAGTTAATGATAACCAGGGGAAAGGTGGGGAGAAGGGAATAGTTAATCTCATACTTGGGCATGAAAAGTTTCTGTGTAATCATGGTTTTAGTAAAGTATACTTTCACTGATAATGTATCCGAGAGGTTTTCTTTTCTAATGTTCCAAGTTGGGATGGCTAACATTGACTTTTTTCTTGTTTTTTATAAGAAAAAAAGAGGTGATAGAGAATGATTTTGTATTATCAGCAGGACTGAAGTAGAGGTCTGAGCCTGGTTTTTTTTCCTGCAGCTGGAGGAGATGGATGTCATTGCTCACTTTTTTTCTTGCATTAATATAAAATATATATAAAAAGGTAGAATTTCCTTCCATTGCCCTTGCTTTTTGGGGATAGTAGTACCCAGGAACCAATCTCTCAGACCAAATTCAGTTCATTGTCTCATTATAATTAATACGTTTCTAAGGTAAATAGAATTTCTCAGTAGAATTTCTATTATCACGTTATGCCATTCTCTGAAAATAAGCCATAGTTTCCAAATGATTGAAAATAAAAGTCAGCAAATAAAACATATTCTTAGCATTAGAGGTTCAGCATTCCACTTATGACCACAATTGGGCTTACATTCTTGGTAGTTGAGTGAAGGCAGATGCCATGTGACTGCTTTGCTCAATGGCTGCAATTCTGGCTCTCCCAGTTGTGATTGTTAAGGAGTGTTATGGATTGTTAAATGTAATGCTGGAGAGTCAGCCCAGGCCTCCCAGGAATGGGGGTGGGGAATAGGACAAGTGCCTCCTCCCATACACAGGAGGCTTGGGTTCTCTCCCTGCCCCACGGGGTTGAATGATCATGAGAACAATGGAAGTTTTGCCAGATTTGAGCACGGTTCCTTCAGTACTCATGAGGATTTTTCCCATCCCTGCGCAGACTGGGAGAAGAGACCTCAAATCCAACATCTCCTTCATTTGAACCTTCCCTGCCAGCTTTTCTATTGACTTTCTGGAGAAGCCAGTAGAAAATATTTCAAATAGTGATCATATGATTGTAGGGCATTTGGCAACCAGTGGTAAATGTGAACAAGTTGGCCACATCTGAAATGTCATGTGACCAACCTCTCTCCCCCCCCCCCCCCACTGTTTTGTGACAGTCAGAAGTGCTTTACAGGTCATAAAGTACCTTTCAGAGCCCATTGAGACTACGAACAATTGATAAGACAACCAGTTACAAGTCAAGAGCTATCTGTAATGATGTGATGTAGTTCTGCCTAATAATTCTTTTGTTCTGCCTACTTATCTTGATTTTGTATTTTCTTTTCAGGACTTTCCATTTCCAGGGTTTACGACTAGATGAAGCTTTACGACTCTACCTAGAAGCCTTTCGTTTGCCAGGAGAAGCTCCTGTGATTCACAGGCTATTGGAAGCCTTTACAGAACATTGGCATGTATGTTTTGAATTACCCTATATCTTTGTTTTTAAATAATATATTAAGTAATGGACTTGGAATGAAGAATGCTTTTCTCTATGCTTACTTTCGTCATTGTGGGAAAAAAATAAGTGACTTTGGTTAGATTATATTTATTTTTTTTTGTATGAGTGGCAGTGGCTGAATTAATATATGAACTATGATTTATTACCCAAACACAGGAAAAAATCAAACAAATCAGACTATAACTTATAATCCTGTGTTAATTTTCTATTTGAAAAATATCCCAAACTGACAGCAAGATAGTAAAAGATAAAATGAAGTAAAAATAATATAACAGCAGAAACTGTGACAACACTCACATGATAAGAAATAGTCTGAAATGGGATTGGGTATGATATTTACTCAAAAGTAACACTAAAATTTTCTCCTAAAATTAAGTGTGCATGGAGTCAGTGTGTGGGGGCGGGCAAAATGTTATATTCTCTGAAATAAGACATGATAATATCATTGAAAGTAAATAAACGTACAAGAGACATAAATATGACAATGTCTGCTGCAAACATTGAATGCAATAAAAAGAGGTGGATGAGACTGGAAGTTTTCTCTATATTTACTTGGAAGTAAAAGCATAGAACTCAATTGAATAAAATTTCTGCAAACCTAAATATATTCATTTATCCTTGCACCTTAGTACATATGACTATCATTCAGTTTCTTGGTTACAAATGGAAAAAACAGGTTTTCCCCAGTTTCTATTCCAATTTGTAACTTTGGCTAAATGTATCTATCCTCAATATAATAGCAATATATGAACTGAATGGAATTTTAAATAAGTCTTAAATTTGCTAAACTTAAACTTCTGCATTCTCTTGAACTGTACTCAAGAGTGGTTTTTGTGAGAATGTGTGAATGGAGAACTATTAACTTTACAGAAAGTTACATTATTTTACAGATAATTATTAATTTATAATTAATAAATGTTAATTGAATGTTTGTCTTTGCCCTGTTCTTTTTTTTTTTTTTTTTGGAGCATGGCCTATGATAGTTCACATGTACCTACAGAGAATATAAAAAGTCTATATAACCGCTGTTAAAATGCCAAGTTTTTGAGATGTAAAAAAATCAGACCAAGATTAATCACTTCAGAATTCTTTCCATCTTTATTTAATATAACATATAAGCTGTACAATTCAGTTAAAAAACAAGCTGAAATTTTTTAAGGAGAAAAAATAACAACAATAAAAAATTAGAATAACATGATTGTATAAAGATGCACACCCTTAAACTAATACTTGTTAAAGCACCTTTTTATTTTTTATGACATCATCTAGTATTTTGGTGTAAGAGTCTGTCAGCATGGCATACCTTGCCTTGAGATTCTTTGCCCTCTCTTCTTTGCAAAAATGCTCCAAATCTGTCAGATTTCAGGGGCATCTCCTGTACACAGCCCACCTCACAGATTTTCAGTTGGATTCAGGACCAGGCTCTGGCTAGGCCATTCCAAAATATTAATATTCTTCTGATTAAGCCATTCTTTTGTTGATTTGGAGGTATGCTTTGGTTCATTGTCATGTTAAAAAATGAAATTCCTCTTCATCTTCAGGATTTTATGAGGTCTGAAGGTTTTGTGCCAAAATTGACTGATACTTGGAACTGTTCATAAATCTCTCCACCTTGATTAAAGCACTAGTTCAGGTTGAAGAAAAGCAGTCCCAAAGTATAATGTCACCACCATGCTTCACTGTGGGCATGGTATATATTTGGTGATGCTCAGTGTTGCTTTTATGCCAAATATACTCTTTGGAATTATGACCAAAAAGTTCAACCTTGGTCTCATTAGATCTTAACACATTTTCTTATGTGCTTTTGTGAGAGTTGATATAGGTTTTGCCAAATGTAGCCAGGCTTGGGTGTTTTCTTCATAAGAAAAGCCTTCCATTATGCCACCCTAACCCATAGCCCAGACATATGAAGAATATGGGAGATTGTTGTCAAATGTAGAACACAACCAGTACTTGCCAGAAATTCCTGCAGACCCTTTAATGTTATTCTAGGCCGCTTGGCAGCCTCTCAGACCAGTTTTCTCCTTATTTTTTCATCAATTTTGGAAGGACAGTTCTTGGTAATATCACCGTTATGCCATATTTTCTCCACTTGATGAGTCATGTGTTCCATAGTATATCCAATTCTTTTTGCACCCTTCTCCTGACTGGTAGCATCCAACAGTGAGATCCCTTTTGATACTTTATAAGCTCTTTGCATACAATAGCTTTTGCTGTAAGAGGCAACTGAGTAAACATCAGAAAAATCATACTAGAACAGCCGATCTATGGACTTGATCAGACTTTAATTGGTAGCAGGTGTGTACTATTTAACATCAATTTGAATGTAATTGGTTAATTCTGAACACAGCCACATCCCTAATGAAAGGGTGTGAACACTTATGCAGGTATATTATTCTAGCTTTTAATTATTATTTTTTGCACTCAAGGTGGTGAACATACCCGACACAACTTCCTCCTCCTATTTTCCCCACAACAATTAATTGACCTGAGAGACAGTGACTGGCCCAAGGTCACCCAGTTGGCATTTATGACTAAGGCAGGACTAGAACTCATGGTGTGTATGTGAGAGTATGTGTGTGCATATATATGTGTTGTGCCTCCGAGGTTTGAACCAGCTCAGTCAGCAGATGTAGGCTCGAGTGAGGAGGAAGATCTGGCATTGAGATTCGAGCCTGCATTGCTGAGCGATGTTGAGAGGAGTCTGGGGGAGGAGGAGGAGTTGAATCTGAGAGAGGAGCCTAATTTATTAGAAGTTTCAGAGACGTCTTCCTCTTCTGGAACTCCCTCCCTGATTGCACCTCAGGTGTTAACTGTTAATCAGGAAAGTGTGCCAGAGGCTTCAAGCGATGATGAAACTGCCGGATGCTGGCTGGATGCTAGAACTAGAAGATTGAGACGTCAATCTCAATTAGAAAAGAGACGTCCAGCCAAGGATTAATTAATGAGACTGACACGCCCCTTCAGGGGATATATAAGGAGCGTGCTAACGCCTCTCCCCCACTCGAAGCAAAGTGGATTTTTAGTGCTTTTTGGATTCGGAAGAATACATTTGAAGCGGCTGTCGTGATTTATGAACAATTCAGATTTGCCAGACAGATTCCAGGAAGACTGCTAAGGACTGTGAAAACAGAGCAGTTAACTCTTTTGGGTCTGGTTTTGTTTTGCTTGAACATTTGAACTCTGGAACTGTGTATTCTCACCTGTGGATACAGGTGAGACATAACATATATGTATATGTGTATATGTATGAATGTGTATATACAAGTCACTGGATGTGGGACCCCATTAATTGGGCTTTAGGAAGTCAGGATTGCTGCTGATGTATCAGCCTTCCTGCTATAAAGCAACCTCCCTGCTGAGATCTTTTAATTCCATTTCAGGATTATCAATGGAATTCTTCAGATTTATGGTTCTTGGAGACTTCAGTCTGCCTTCTCTAGTGGTGGGGTCTGAAGCATCTCATGTCAGACCCAAAACCAAGAATGACGTGGCAATTCTTCCAAATGGAGGTCTTTATTGTTTTATACCCACAGACAAAATCTTGCCATACTGAGGACTCTACTATATGTATACTCTATGAACTTACAGGGAGGAGCTGGCTTCACTCTTTTTCTCCAACATAATATTTGGACTGAGTTGCTTCTTACTGCTCTAGAATCCCCCTGCCCCCAGTTATCCACCTCCTCATTATATTCCATCACAGCTCGGGAGTTCATGCCCACCATGACAGCCATGGGCCTATCCCAGATCATACAGAGCCTAACTCAGGGCAGTGGTCACATACCAGATCTGGTATTCTTATTGGAGTAGAAGCTATGGTATCTGAAATTGGGGGGCTCTTGGTGTTTTCCTTGTCATGGTTAGATCACAGCCTGATTTCCATGGGGTTTTTCTAATGCCACTACCTACTGTAGGGAGGCTGGAACCGTCGGATTGGTCCACCCCCAGTGACTAATGGACCTGAAGGTGTTCCAGAAGGAACTAGAGATTGTTCCTGCTGGTTTGCAGCATGGTCCATCTGAAGCCTTGGCCGCTGCTTTGAAAAAGAGGGCAGTTGAGGAATTGTCACTCCCCATGGGTCACAAAGGAATTGAGAGAATAGAATAGAAATAGAAATAGAGCTGGAAGGGATCTTGGAGGTCTAGAGATCCAGCCTCCTGCTCAAGCAGGAGAACCTATATCATCTCAGACAAGTGACTGTCTAGTCTCTTCTTAAAAACCTCAAGTGATCGAGCACCCATGATTCCTGAAGGCAAGCTGTTCCACTGATTAACTGTCTTTGTTGTTAGGAAGTTTCTCCTTAATTCCAGGTTGCGTCTCTCTTTGATCAGTTTCCAACCATTATTTCTTGTCCTGCCCTGTGATGCTTTGAAGATTAATGTGACCCTTCTTTGTGGCAGCCTCTCAAATACTGAAATACTGCTATCATGTCACCCCTAATTCTTTTCTTTAGAGTAGCCAAACCCAAAACCTGCAGCTGTTCTTTGTATGGTTTAGTATTCAGGCCTTTGATCATCTTACTTGCTCTTCTCTGAACTTTTTCCAAAGTCTCATCATCTTTTTTGTAGTACGGTTACCAAAATCAGTTGCAGTATTCCAGGTGTGGCCTTACTAGGGTTTTGTAAATGCACCACTAATATTTCACGTGATTTTGATTCAATGCCTCTGTTTATACAATCCAGGATTGTATTAGCTTTTTTGACTTTATCAAAGAATGAAATAAGATTGGTTTGGCATGGTCTGTTTTTAACAAACCCGAGCTGGCTACTAGTTATAACTTTATTTGCTTCTAGTTGTTCGTAGATCTGTGTTTTGATTATCTTTTCCAGGATCTTCCCAGGTATTGATGTTAGACTGATTGGTTTGTAGTTTTCTGGGTCTGTTTCTCCCCCCACCCCTTTCTTGAAGATGGGAACCTTTTTCAAATCCTCAGGTCCTTCTCCTGTGCTC